CGAGGCATTGTGACACTGTCCAAGACAAAAGGCACCGATTGCTCGGTAAGCTTGCTCTGCAAGCGAGTAGGGCCACCTTACAGAGCTGATGTCTCCTTGCGGTTGCCTGATCTGCACCTAGGCTCAATGCTGGGTGAAAACCCGTTGTTGTCGAGCACCTCATTAGTCCTAAGGCTCTGCACAGCCGCCTGTCGCACGTGACACAACTAGTTCGACAGTGGAATTGAGGTGTTGCACTTTGTTTCCCTCATTGTTGTTTTATTTGAGCTGGCTGTCTCGGCCACTGCCGAAGTATTTGCTAGCAGTACTACTGACCATCGTACCACATTGGCATTGCGCCTGAAGCTCCCTTCCCTGTGCCCTACTGCATCATTCTGTTGAGTCTTTTGAGTGTACGCAGCGGGAGTGATGTAACCCATGGCTGGCTGTCTTCTGTACATCGTCAGCGCCGTTGGACAGGAATGCGTCGTGACATCAGGCAATGAACATGCCTGGGACCTGCACAACTGTGTGCAGTGCTAGTCGCAACTAGAAGACATGTTTACGCGAGTGACGCTTTCTGGCGCTTACGGCCACATTGCCGTTGCGTGGTATTGAGGTGAAGTCGTCAAGCCAGAGAGCACAGCAGTGTCGACCGGCGGTTGTGTCGTGGTGCACAGACATTCTTTAGGTAAGTATCTTGTCATCTTTCGTTAGAGCCTGTGTAGCTGATTTCTTTCAAATTTTGGGGGTGGTTTAGTTTGAACTAAAAGTGAAGAAATGTGGGAGTGCTATCACCCCCGGTAAAGTCATTTGTGCCTCATGGCGCACACATGTCTCGTGGATAGGCCACACTTAGGGTTAACAACCATTAAGCACCAGGTGGTGTAATGTGCGTGCAAGTTCACCACCATCATCATCAATGTGGTCAGCGCAGTAGAGCCAGCCGTGATGCCTGGCGGCAAGGCTAGGTGGCTGTTCAGAAAATATTGGGAAGTCTCTTTGGAGTGTGGCGGCTGGCGCGAGCGGTCCTCTTTTGCGATGGGTCCATAGGGACGACACCACAGGTCGTCTCCCGTGGACCCGTCGCGGTAAGTCGAGCGTTGGTGACGCCGCCCTCGAATTATACCTTGTGTTTGTTCTCATGCTTGACTGAGTGTATTGAAACATTACATAAGGTTGTTAAGCATGTTGATCACTAGTGATGTACTTTATTTGGATGATGATAGTATCGTCGATGTAAAAGTAATTGCATAAATGCATGCAATGTTTGGTTTGGTTCGACCATGTCTGCTGTGTCTGTTTCGAGGACGTGTTACCTCCTAGGGAGACCCCACGCGACGACGGAGGAGATCTTTTGGGGGAGACAAGAAGGCCCTGCACATGACTAAATGGTCATCTTGTGCACCACACAGAAGTCATTTCTTTGCTTTCCCCTTTGTTTGTCTCCACCCTGTCCCTCAAGTGCAGGGAGGATGGATGAAAATGAAGAGCAGGTGGTGCATTATTTCAATTTCTTTGTGCAAGTATAGTGCAAGTATAGACGGTGTCGCCGCGTGTGCCGCTGGTGTGACTAGTGAATTGGCCGATGAAAGGCTGTGAGTACGACGAAGCATGAATGGAGTCATTCACAGAGCATTTGGTGGACTGTTGCCGTCATTGCAGTGTAAATAGGACAACATTAAGACAAAAGACACCCCCAAAGACAGTCAGCAGAACAAAGTCGATTTGTTGTCACTCTAGTGTAAACATGCTTTAAGAGTTATGCAAGATTAAATCCAAAAGAATGAGCTGATAGCCTTACTTGAACTTTCCAATTGGTTGCTATTCGCCACTTCCAGGTACCGTGGCACCGCTGTGTGGTGGCGGTCGAAAGCTCTGTTGAGATGATCGAAGTTTTGAACCTGCTTCAAACAGCAGTTGTGGCTGCTTGTTTCCCCGCGTTTGTGGTCATTTTGCGACGTTGTGAACAACCTCGATATTACCGGAACCCTTTTGAGTTTCTCAAGTTAAAGGAAGAATAGAAAGAAATAGAAAAATCCGACTGATTTCAGTCGATAACAGCCGACTGATTGCGAGCCTCGATGCTCACAGCCTATGTACTCTGAGAGGGAAAGTAAAACCTCACGTTCAAATTAGCGCCCCAAAAAGGCATAAGTGATTAAGAAGGTCAAAATTAACAGGCAAATAAAGCCCATGAATGTATTCCGCACCCACTTTGTGTAGGAGTACAGCAACTTCCAGGTTTGCAGTTTTCCCGCTTAGATCGTCAACTCGACACGGTCTCTGTGCGAACAGTACCAGAACTAAATTAAGAATGCGTTCCGCCTTTAAAATAGAATGAAAAGACCGGTTTCAAAATGTTCATTGCATCATTACACATCTGAGCTGTCTGCGAAGTGCCTCCATGACCTTCAGATTTGCAGTAATTTGTGCTCGGTCTAACTAGGGAAGTAAAAACAGCGCAAAAATATAGACAAGGACAGAGGAAGAGACTTCCCAAGTATGAACCACCAACTAGCCCAACTTTCACTATTATTGCTACTATATTCTGTTGTTTCTATTTTAGTCAAGAAAGTACACTAAAATGATATTGCCAGTAATATGACATGGTGCTTGTGCTTCGGAATTTAAAAACAACGTTTTTTTGTCAGCTTACTCTGCTTTGCGCTTTTAGGCGGGCTGAACAAGCTTTGCGCAAAATACAATGCAAGCAAAACTAGAAGACGAATCGCGTCTCCGAAACTGAGACTCCCATCATAATAATTTTCCAACATGACATCAGTGGTTGCGCGCAATTACGCACAACGGCTGGTGAAAGTGTATGTGTGTGCCTTTGTGCGCATATTTACCTACCCAATGTGCTACCCAGCATTTATTCACTTGATGTTTTATGTTAGCGCTCCCCTACTTTCTCAAAAACATAAATCAAAGGGCCACCGGAAGCGCGAAAAATTGCAGTATTTGCCAAAAGTGTTCTTTCCGGTACTGTCACTTTCGGGGCGATCATCTCAACGACAGCCATGTTGGATGTACAGTCGCACCACCTATAGGTCGCGAAAGTCGCGAATAGCCTTCACTGCTTTGCCCTTGAGGCTGGACTGCTGTTTCACACCGTCACCATCAAAGAAGGCGCGTCAGGTGATGATGATGTTAAGAGCTCGCTCGAACTCGCCATGTCGCAGATGACTGCACATGACGGCACCAAAGACTGCGTGGGAGCAGTTTCGGCGCAATAATGTGTTTTGGAGCAGGATAGCGCAGCACAAGCAGTTCGACACAGCATGGCACAATTGGCACAGCACCCCTGAAGTGACTGTCATGGCAGGTAATTGTGCATATTCGAACAACAGATCGTCTGACCATCACTTCGTCATGTACGGGTGAATGAACACTCAGTGCAAGAGGAACATTTTATGTGTAATTGTGTGTCTGCAGCACAGTAGACCACGCAATGAGTGCAGGTGCGATATGTTCATGCTGCATTATTTTTTGCCGTCGCCTGAAATATGGAAGCAGTGGGTGGCGCCATTAAATCTAAAGAACTTCCATGTACAATAGACTTCTGTTAAAAGAAGATTTAAGGGACCAGGAAAATGTTTCGTTTAACAGAAGCTTTTTCAACTGAGAGATAAACAGGGGTGCCTAATTCAAGTACACAACCAATCATATAAGAGATAGTTGTTTCGTTTAAGCAGCGATTCCATTCACCAGACTTCCACTTGCTGAGAGTCTACTCCCTCAACATCATTGTGGCTCTCCTCACCACCCTTTGTTGAGGACAACAAAACTGACAAGAACAACGTTCGTGCTGCATCTTGTATACCAAAAAAGGTGCCGACAGAATCACACTTGTCTAAAGTGCCCATCTAGCAGCTTTAGCTACTGCTTTATGCAAAAAATATGCAAATAATGATACTGTAATGATACCTAACATTATTACACTGTATGGCTGTGAACAACAGTGTCCACAGCCATGCACTCCATTGCTCTGGACAAGTGTGACTTGGTTTGTACGCAAATCACTGATGGTACTGACAACAAAGCCCAGCCGTTTGCAGATGCAGAGCTCATTCTATGTTACTAGCACAAATGCACACTGCCGAATAGTTCAGACAGTAACACATGGCTTAGTGGCCGTGCCAATATCAAACCAAGCAGCCTAAAAAAATGGGCAAACACACGCTCTTGGGCGCACACTTCAATATGGTGCCCCCTGTGGTGAAAATTTGAAAGGGTTTTTAGCCAGGGACTGCAGCTAGATGTAGCAACAGAAAGTAGTGTGTCATGTAGGGTTTTTTCCCCAGTTCGATTTCCCTCTTTTTTCTCCATGTGTTCAGTTTCTCTGTTGGTATTTCTGGGCTGGAATTAAATAATGTGTGCAGTGCCTCCCAGCTTCCTCTCAATCGATCACCATAGTACATATCCTTGAGATATGTGAGATGAACACCTCAAGTAGAGACAAAAGCAGTTAGGCTACTGTTTGCCAATTTCCTCCAATGGTGCTGTATAAAGGTGAACTCATCATTTCTGAGTAACTGTCTTGTTGACACTGCATTTAGTTCAGTTTGATAATAATACAAATCAGGCAGTATACTCCCCATTCTCAATTCTTTTTTACAAGACATGTTAGTCAGCGCACACATAGCAAATAAAAGAAAAGTACATCTTGTAGAGCTATGTTGCTTTTTAAAACATTATGGCCCTAAAAGGTGCCTGCCTTAGGATAAGGCTAATGTATGTTTGATAGCCACAAAAGATAAAACAACTGTTGTCAGTACTAAAATAAAAGAAGAGCATAACTTTCAAACTTCTTTCCTTTTCTTGATCCAAGCCTCTTTTTTTTCCATGTTGCTGGCATTATCAGCATTCTACAACAGTCATCATTGGCAAATTTTCCCCTAAGCATCGTGCATTCACATGATTCAAGGCAACTGGTGATTCTGTTAGGTAGAATAAAATGTCATGGGGCTCAGTACTACAGTAAAACCTTCATGTCAGGACTTCCAAGTCAACCATACCTCGTCCAAGTTGGCTATTTTAACCAGGTTGTTGCCAACATTTGGTGGCGGGGGCTTGCTCAGTGGTATGGACACCTCTTCATATTTTCCAGTGGACGTAATTTTACAGTCAATCGGGAGAGTCATCTGTCGTACAAAGAAATTTTAAACGTCCTATAAAATCGGTGCCCCTGAGAAGTCTGAAAGCATACATGGTAGCATACATGGTAGCATACATGCTGCAGAAAATACAACCATCTGGCAAAAATCAATGAAAAATAAACACAAAAATTCCTGCACATAGAAAATACACACAGAGGTGCACAGCACTGGCAGAACTTCAACTAGGCACAAGCCACTTTACTCAACGTGTACTGAACTTTTAGGCGCAATGCTTCATTCAGGAGAAGACTGCCAAGACAAACACTAGTGCAATTCAACTGAAAAAAGGAAGATCGTGATATGCCTACTGTAAACTAACAATTACTCAAGAGCGTTAAGCAGTAACAAAGTACATTGAGAGACATATGAAACCACCCTTGTAGTCATTGACCAGCTTTGCCATTCTAGCTGAGGCTAATTTATTACTTCAACTAGTTTAATCCTCACGAAAGGGCCCACACACTCATTAATTTCATGCTCAATTTGGTATTTGCAAGATAACTTCACAACTAAATGAATTAGCATGCATGTAGTTAACCACAAGGGTGACCTTAATCAGATCCCACCATTTTCAGTGTCTAACAAAATATATTGTTTACTATATTTATTTATTTATTCATTTCTTTATACATACTGCAGCCCATCATGGACTATGGCAGGAATGGAGTCGCATGCCAAGCCCAGACAAAAAAAACTGTCCAAAAAAAAAAAAGCCGTCCAACTTTCAATTGTCACAGGAATCAGTTCTAAATTTAAGCCGCAAAAGATTATGCGAGCTTCGAAGGCTAGTTGCGTTGCCATATCACTAAAAGGCACCCCGAAGATGCTGCTATCCATTTATAAGGAGGCTCACTCACCATGAAGAAGAAGATTTCACAATCTCATCAAACCTCAACAGCGCTGTATAAACACTTCAGTGTACAGAAAGAGCACACATGAGGCAAGTAGCTACACTGTGATTCAGTGCAACCGACAAGCCACAAAGGTTCAACGGTTGCCTACCTTCTTGCCAGAACCAACCACATCTGCACAATGCCAAGAGGCCGAGCTGCTGACCTACAGTCAGTGCACAGAGATCGCTCGGCATGTATCAGTTGAAAGTTATTTCTCAATTTAATGAAACGCCAGCTTTCTTAGCCTCCAAGACTCGACTACGTGCTCTTGAGAAAACTATACCATACATAAGACCGCGTGCCCCCGAGAAAACTATACCATACATGCCTGGTGTGTGCTAGTGTTTGGCCTGCATTCAACACCACTTTCTCAACTTATCGGTACACAGAAATGTTACCTCAGTGGTACAAGTGGAATACAACCTCGGAAAAAGAAATTCCAATGTTCTGTAGAATGGATCTCATGCAAAGACAGCGATTTTGTCTATATAGGTAAGACAGGAAATTAAAAATAGTGAGTTAAACAGCATGTCAAGGACGTCAACAACAAAAGGTGTCTTCAAATGGCTCGGCAGAACATGCAGAAAACTCAAGCCATCATATAGATTGGGACAACTCAACAATTTTGAAAAAGAGACGAAACATTTGTCTTCAAGATGGCACTTGGAATCATTGTCATTCATACCTTAGAGCATTGTCAATGAAAAAAATTTTGGGGGCACAGTGAATTTTAAAGTTTGGGTGCGAATCCAATTAAATATTTTGTCACATACTTTGAAGCAAAATTACGGGAATAAAGTTGTACAAAAGCCCCAAGCATATTCCATTAGATGAGAACAAAGAAGCATTTCTTGTGGGGAGTGTAATTCTCTTGTCAGCTTGTAATGAGGCCATATGATTTGGTACAACTGAAGTGGTTTTGACAACCTGTCAAAGGAAAAGACGCCACTGCTTCTGCAATAACAATGGGAAGGCCCAGCTGATGTGGTGGACATGGGTGCATTCTTCTCGGGATGGGAGTTCCTCATCAGCTGCTCAGATTTCCTTCTCCCAACTTATGGCTGCATGGAGTTTCAGCGGCAGTTGTTGGTGCCAGCCGAGTCTGTTCTGATGGGAGAAGTGACGCGTTTTTCCCCCATTGGTTTTGTGGACACCGGAAGAATGCTCATTTTCAAAAACAAGGCCAAGCAACACTTTCACTCTAGAATGTGCGAAACCATTCCTTTTGCATGGTGACGTGTACACCTGGCAGCAGCGCGCTGTCTGCTGTGTGAAAGTGAAACTGTGCTTCTTGCTGTGCCATAACGAGCAGCATAGGTTGGAGTCTGGAAAGCTTGATATTTCAAAATTAGCAGGGTGATACCAACTATATCTAAAGCTGATTTTTGTGGCGCCATGACATTACATGGAAAGCATATTTTGCAATAACAAATCAATCGAGTATGAAACTTTGAAATGCCATTCGCAGAATTAACAACAGATCGTCACTGGCAGCCACTGGGGCAAAGCCAACCAAAGGATGCCCACAGTGTCAAGCACGTAATGTGTCATGAATGCTAGTCAGCACCATAGAGAGAAAGGAGGAAAAAGCAGAGAGTTGTCAACTCTTGCAACCCTCCACAGTGTTACGGAAATGTGACTCTTAAAGAGGACATAGAAAGATAAGATAAAACAGGCAAAGGGAAAAAATGCATCCACTTTTGTAAGCTAGCTCTATCCCATTTTGTGGAATTGGCAGCAATGCTGTGGGTAAGTGGGAGCTTGTCTGCTGCACCTCCGAAAAAACTTCAATCTTCAGCACGGGTGCCGTTAGTTTCAACAGGATAGAAAGTTGAGCCACGTGGCAAAATTGCATCACTGAAACAGCCTGGGGACGGCAGGTAGCACACATGCCAGCACTGACAATCGTATGGTGATAAGCCTCCTCATCTGACTGCTTGGTAGCACATGTGGCCCAGTGCAGTTCTAAGCATACTGTACACGTTTCGTAGATAATAGGGGACGTGTCTTTCACAGCTGCCTCATTGTGTGAGAATACTAAGTGCGCCACACAGCTGCACTGCTTTAAAGAGATACTGAACAAAAATTGGCAAAACAGAAGTAATTTCAAAATTCCACTAGGAAGATGCCACTGTTTTCATTTCATTTCATTTATTGAAGCCTTAAGGGCCCGGAGGCATTACATAAGGTGGGGGCAAACAATATATGAGAGACTCTTAATCACACAAACATCGAAAAAGAAAGAAAAGACAAAGTTTTGACGAAGAAAGGGAGAAAAACAACTCTAAGAAAGGAAACAAGCAAGCAGAAAAAAAAAGCAACTACCGTAGACTAGAAATAAAACAGCAATATACACAAGTTATCAACATCATAATGCATGAGTCACTAAAGGTTAGTTACTAACATGGTTCAACTAGGAATTCATTTCAATTTAGGTCAGATGCATTGTTATTTTTTCGCGAAAAGTCGTGCGGCCGGTGGACGAAACAATACTGTCGGGGAGGCTATTCCACAGGGTTATTGCATGGGGGAAAAAAGAATCTTTAATCGATGATGTGCAGCACTGAATGTGTGTGATTGGTTTGCTGTGGTTGAGGCCCGGCGAGATTCGGGGTTGGGGTTGAAGTCGAGGGTGCCTGGCAAGTGGGTGATAATAGAAAGAGTGAATCAAGCAGAGACGCGAGATGATTCGACGTGATTGGAGACATGGAAGGTCAAGTGTGCGTTTGAGTTCAGTGATGCTAAATTTACGCGAGTAGTTTGACGTTATGAAGCGAGCAGCGTGATTCTGGAGGGATTCTAATTTGTAGGCAAGATATGCTTGTGAGGGGTGCCAGATAGATGAAGCGTACCCCAATTTAAGCCGAACGTACGTCTGATATGCAAGTTTCTTTAATAGCGGGTGATGCAGATCTGAGATTTCGGCGCAAAAATCCAAGTATGCATGAAGCATGTGCGCATATTGTTTCAATGTGAGCGACCCATGACAATGATGATGTGAAGTGAATGCCTAGATACTTACAACAGTCTCTTCGAGTTATTTCATTTGAATTGATACGGTATGCATGAATTGCGGTGCTGTGTTTACGGGAAAAGGACATGGACTGGCACTTATGAAGGTTAAGAGGCATGAGCCATTTTCCACACCATGTAGCGACAGAGTCAATGTCTTCCTGAAGATCAGTGGAGTCGCTAGGTTTGAGAATGGCATTGTAGATGACGCAGTCATCGGCAAAAAGTCGAAGTCTGGTTTTTGTGTTAGATGGCAGGTCATTGACGTAGATTAAAAAAAATAGGGGGGATAAGCCTGCCCCCTGGGGGACACTGGATGTAACACTACAAATTTGAGAGTCATGAGAGTTGGCAATTGTGTATTGTACGTGTCCTTCTAAGAAATGTTCTATCTAAGTAATCAGTTTCCAGGGGGATTCCAAGAGTAGATAATTTTGCAAGCAGGTGATTGTGTGGGACACGGTCGAAGGCCTTCGAGAAGTTGAGGAAGATGGCGTCAATTTGTAGATGATCGTCCATATGTTGCAAGATATCATCGGTGAATTCTGAGAGCTGAGTTTCGCACGATAATAGTTTCCTGAAACTATGCTGGTACGCATAAAAGAAGTTAATTGATTCAAGGTAGTTCATTAAATTGGTTGCTATAATGTGTTCTAGCAGTTTGGATGTTATGCTGGTTAACGACATTGGGCAGTAGTTAGGTGCTTTTGATTGGTCGCCAGACTTATGAATGGGAATGATTTGTGCCTTCTTCTAATCGTGGGTAACTTCACCAGTGCTTAGTGATAGTAGGAACAGTAAGGTTAGTATTGTGCTTGACAGGTAAATTGTGTTTTTAAGTAGTTTGCTGCTGATTTGATTGCAACATGCCGAGGAAGATAATTTGAGAGTTTAATAACTTAGATATTCCATCAACGTTAATCTGGATATCAGGCATTCTGGTCGGCGAGTGTAGTGACAACTGGGTAAAATTTAAGCTTTGAGCAGGTGAAAATACTGACGTAAAGAAGTCGTTAAGGACTGTAGCACATTTATCAGTTTTGAATAATTCGTTGTCTACGTTTGACAGCTGGAGTTGCG